GTATGTGGGATCCGAACCCTCGGGCGGGAGCGCTGCCATGCTTCCCAAGCGGCGCACTATCCAGTGCGCCACCGGGCCGGCCCAGGAAACATACTTTGAACTGCTAAAAATAAGAAATTTTTGTCAACCAGAAAGTAAGATTAATAATGAACAGGTTACTTCGATCAAATTTAGCACCATCCTTTCCCTTTCTGTTTCTGAAATTCTTTGGTATGGTGAGTCATAAAAATAATAAATGACTTAATTATAAAATGTAGCCTTAGCATTTTCTCTGAAATTGTGTGTGATTTGTTCTATAGTTATTTCCAAAGTACATGTGATAATACAGATTTGTTGTCTTCTGCATAGGTCAAATGCTTCTCTAAGGTTTTGATGTATGTTAATACAAGATGTGTCCCTTTTTTATTTTGGAATGATATTATAGCATCAGACAAGCATTTTAATTTAATAAACTTATGCATCCTCCCCTCCCCTCACACCCAGGATCATTTTAATGAGTGCTTGAGAGTAAGTGGTTAATGCAGGCAAAAGGTGTGTTTTTTCATTTGGAGATCATAAATTGAGAAAGCAAACAGAAGGATGTCTAGGACTGAAGAGGCCACAGGCCTTTTCATAGTAGACACAGAGTCTGTCCTCTTCTCTTTTCCTCTGTTTGTAACCTCAGTTAAGTCATATGTTCTCCCTGATCTTTGGTTTCCTGGTTGGTAAAAATGAAGGCCCTGCGCTAGTAAACGATCTCTAGGTCCAATCTAGGTCCCTCTCTCTCTCATGCTGATACAGATACTTTTCTCTGCCTCATGGTTCCTGTTCTTATTTTGTACAAGCAATTAAGTTTGCCAGGAATCTGAAACACGAATCTTTCTGACGGGCGATAGAGGCGGTGAATAGTTTGCTAACAGAGGAAATCATGGAAGATATTGTTTGGTTCTCAGGAGGCAATATTTAGGTTGGAAGTATTGTAATGAAGAGGAAGTGGTAACCTGTAATTCCTATAGGCTGATGGGGTAAGAAGATAGCAGACAGATAGTGTTAACAACCAGGAAATGGTCATGCACTAGAGTCCAGAAAGGGCAACATGTCCCCAGTGAGCGTATGGAAATAGCTCAGGTTTTCTGCTTAACTGTAGAAACTGCCTTGACAGCCTTTTGGGGAATGAATGCAGTATGGATTGAGTATCCCTTACCCAAAATGGTTGGGACTAGAAGTATTTTGGATTTTGGATTTTTAAGGATTTTGGAATATTTGCGTTATCCCGATTTAGCATCCCTAATCTGAAATCGTGCAGTAAGCATTTCCTTTGAGTGTCATGTCTGCACTCAAAAAGTTTTGGATTTTGGAGGGTTTCAGGCTTTGGATTTTGGATTTTTGGATTAGGGATACTCAACCTGTGCTAGTAGACGTTACCCCAGTGCAATATTGTGGTGATGCTAGTTCTGTGAGTGGTAGCTTTATTATTTGTATGTTCATTCATTTATTGGACAGCTATCCATTAAGCCTGCAGGTACTTTTCTAGGCACTGAGATGCCATAGTGAAGAAGAAAGAGTCTTTGCTTTCGTGGAGGTTATAGTGGGGAAGGCAAATGTATAATGTCAAGTGTTTATGGGTGCTATGAATAGTGAAACAGTCCAGTGAACAGAGAACTAGGCAGAGGAAGGAGTTGGTGGAAAAACCAGAATCCTTCGGTTAGGAACAAGTTGGTGTACTAGAGAAACAGCTAAAACTGGACAGTGTGTTCAGAGCAAAATGAGTAAGGAGGAGGAGGAGACAGCAGCCGTGGGGCCTGGAAGGCCAGGACTGAGGCAGGTGCCAAGTGATTGGCCGCCATCCATGTGATAAGTCATTGTTTAGGTAGGGAGTGAAAACATGGCCCCATTCTTTCTGGACAGACTCCTGTCCTTAGTAATGGCCCCAATTCTCCTAAGGTCTCTGTCCCTCTAGTAAGTTAGTCATTTAGGGAGGTATATAAATTCTTTCAGACTACCAGGGAGCCACTTAGGGTCTGAAAGAATTTATGTACTTTCCAACTACCTTATTTAATAGCTGGGGCAGCTTTAGGGGTTGAGAGTACAATGGATGTTGTTTGGGAATAATTATTGACTAAACGTCATAGATACTGTTGAGATTCTACACAAATTCTTGGGAAGCATAAGGATGAGGCTTTCAAATGTCGTCTCAATTATTATTATTATTATTATTTTTTATTTTTATTTTTTCCTTTTTGTCTTTTTTCGTGTCCGGCAATGGATCGCAACCCTCAGTGTCGCACCCGGACCGGACCGGGACCGGCAACGGGATCGCAACCCTCGGTGTTGCTCCCGCACCTCGCTCAGCCAGTGAGCGGGAACCGGTCTGTATGTGGGATCCGAACCCTAGGCGGGAGTGTCGTCTCAATTATTACATGTTTTTATATTGTAGCATTTTAATGGTTCCATACTTCAAAGTATTGTCATATAAATAAAACCAGCAAGTTTTCTCTTTGGTGCAGTATTGAAAATCTTTTAAAAATAGACTTTTATTAAAATTTGTAATGCTTTTAATTTATTAAGTGCCTTCTGTCTACCATGCATTCAAGCATTTTACATAAACTACCCTTACAACACTGAAAAGTATACACCACCCCTTAGAACTGAGGCTCAGAAGACACAGACAGCTTATTTAGGCTGACACAGCTGGTAAGGGTTGGAATTAGGATTCCAGTGTAGGTCTCTGGCACTAGAGCTGTTCCTCTTTCCAGTATATTTCAGTTCAGGATTCCTGCTGTGTACTGAACAAAGCTGTTACTGTGCAAAGTCACTTCTGTCTATCCTCGGGCTCTAGCAGCCCACAGAATGGCAGTGGGGAATGGCAAGGGAGGATGTGCATAGAGCAGAAGTGGAAGTGTCTACTAGAGCAACCGTCTCCAGCAGGCACAGGTGGCATTTCTAAGGAAATGGAGAGGTTGGCCAGCACTTGGGAAAGAATGGCCTGTTTTAACATACGTAATGTGTTATATGGGCAAGGGAATAAACCATAATATGGGCTCATGAACTTGCTGGTAGAGAGTCCCCTGTCTGTTGGTAAGCCAGTTTGCCAGGCAGGTTTGACACTGTGGGGAGGGACTTTTTCTTTTAGACTGAGATGACAAAGGAGCCTGTAACTGGTGCTCTGCTCAGCCTTTGGCTTCCTGTGGTGCAGGGGCCTTGACCCAGTCATTCTGGACCTCAGTTTTCTAATCTGTAAACAAACAAAAACATTGGGGTTGGAGTTAATGATCTCCAATGCCAAAAGCATGTGTGCACGATTTGACACACCTTTTATCTGACATGTCTGTTTTTCCTTTTTTAGCAAAACAGAATTCATGAATGTGCTGAGAAAAGAATTTATGTCAAGATAAATATATTAATTTGCAAGTTTTAGAGATCTTGTCTTCAACCAAGAAAATAGTAAAAATTAAACTTAATGTAAAAGGAAGGTAATTTTTAAAGACCCTCTCCCCTCAAAAAGTTTTTATGTGCTAATAGTGTGTATCAGGGAAGGGTCAAATCCATTAAGACTCTCCCAAGTGGAACAAGTGACCTGAATAACTTGTTTGCTTAAGTCAAACAGGAAAATTCTTCTTCCTTTGAACTTAAATAATTCCAGGAAATATAATAAAGATGCCGAAGGAGAAAAAAAGCATTGAGTAGAGACTGCTTTTCTAGTACAACCTGTCATTTATAGTCTTCATAGTTCCATAAGCTCTGGCAATACCTGTTGTAATTTATATGCTTTATAATGTTCAGAGTGTTATATCTATCCATATTCTACACTTCTTTTTCTTCTTCAAACTTATTTTTTTCAGTTTTGTAAGTTGGAAATCTTCAGCTTTTGAACATAGCCCTTTAAAAAGTAGGAGTTCTTAAAAGTAAATGAAATAACTTTTAAGATTGCATTTTTCATTTACCATCAGTCCACTCTACGTTAAGTTCAAACAGTTAACTTAAGTAGCAGTGAATGTTCTATTTATAATTTACTTTTTCTTCCTTTTCCAAATCTCTTTCTAGGAGATGACCCATTCATGGCCTCCTCCTTTGACAGCAATACATACGCCTAGTACAGCTGAGCCATCCAAATTTCCTTTCCCCACAAAGGTAATTCCTTAAAAGTAGAGCAGGCACTGCATCAACCTTAAGGAAAAGTTCTGAGGTATTGCTATGAGCCAGATGATAAAGTATTGTTGAAATCTTTAGAGATAAAATTTAAATTCCAATTAATTTAGCTTCTACAGTGCTTCATAATGCTTTCAAATACTTTATTCTCTAACTTATGTTAGTAAGAACATCTTAGATTTGTAAAGCGCTTAATAGCTCATAAAAGCATTCAAGACTTTTCAATATATTCTCTCATCAAGGGTTCTTATTTTAGAGATGGGAAAGCAGAGGTACAGGGAGATTGAGGTAGCTTGCCTGATTCCTAAATCAGAATTTAGATATATACATATACATATCTACATATACACATCTTACATACATACATCGTATTCCCTAAATTTTCTTAAAGTTTAACATGATCAGTTACACTAGTGCTGGTTTTAATACCAAGCAAATGAACTGCTGACTTTGGTGTTCTCGTTACAGTATTTGAGAACAATGTACTGAAATGCTGCCATTTTCCCTTTTTTCTTTTTGGTTTGTACTTGGATAACCTTCAGAACGTAGAAATAGCACTTCATATCTGTGTTCTGTCCAGCCTGGTATGCATGCACATTGTTTTATATATATTACTTTCCATGATACTGTTTTCAAAAGTTATATCTACACAAACCCAAATTTGCTGGAAGTCAGATATTTTACCTGTTTGCTAATGATAGTTTTTTTTTTTAAGGTGATTTATTATTACTGGCTTTAAAGAAAGCATTAAACTCTGTGAACACCAACGGAGAAATACTAGGAAAGAATATGAGCAATAAAAAACTATTCTATGTAAAAATTAATCAGTGTTTGCAATCTGTGCATCAATAAAATAAGATTGATTGAATAAAGGGGTTGTGGAGACCGGTTCCCGCTCACTGGCTGAGCGCGGTGCGGGCGCAACACCGAGGGTTGTGATCCCGTTGCCGGTCCCAGGTACGGGTGCAACACCGAGGGTTGTGATCCCGTTGCCGGTCCCAGGTACGGGTGCAACACCGAGGGTTGTGATCCCGTTGCCGGTCCCAGGTACGGGTGCAACACCGAGGGTTGTGATCCCGTTGCCGGTCCCAGGTACGGGTGCAACACCGAGGGTTGTGATCCCGTTGCCGGTCCCAGGTACGGGTGCAACACCGAGGGTTGTGATCCCGTTGCCGGTCCCAGGTACGGGTGCAACACCGAGGGTTGTGATCCCGTTGCCGGTCCCAGGTACGGGTGCAACACCGAGGGTTGTGATCCCGTTGCCGGTCCCAGGTACGGGTGCAACACCGAGGGTTGTGATCCCGTTGCCGGTCCCAGGTACGGGTGCAACACCGAGGGTTGTGATCCCGTTGCCGGTCCCAGGTACGGGTGCAACACCGAGGGTTGTGATCCCGTTGCCGGTCCCCGGTACGGGTGCGACACCGAGGGTTGCGATCCCGTTACCGGTCAGTAAAAAAGACAAAAAGAAAAAATAAATAAAAAAATAAAGGGGTGGATAGCTAAAAAGGTCATATAGCAAAATGTTAATATGGAATCGATGGTATGAGTATTCTCTGCACTATTATTTCTGTTTTTCTATATATTTGAAGGTTTCATAATACTATCCTTTCAATACTAAAAACTTTACAGTTTTGCCCTCAGATTTATAATCATTAATATTTTAATAACTAGAGATTTTTATTTTTCTTTCTAGGATTCTCAGCACATCAGTTCTGCAGCCCAAAACCAAAGTAAGTAAATATCTGGAATTGTTGATTGCATTGGAGAATAAAGCATAGTTTTTACTGTTTTAATACAAAAGCATTAGTAAAAAATGCTCCAGCAGACTTGAGATCTTCCTTTGTTGAAATAAACATAAAGCTGTTCATTAGGTGAAATTTCAGATTGTTGCAGAAAGTTAATGAAGATGTTTTAATAAAACAATAAATATAATTTGGTATAACTGACACATATTAGTTATCTTGAATGTGTCAAAGTATCATAACCTAGGAATTGTATACAAGAATAGGTTGGGGTATTTTGTGTGATTCTTATAGTTTAAAAAAGTAAGAAATTTTTATAAGGCATATAGCACATAGCCTCTCTAGCCCCTCTGTGTGTATTTGCCTTGTAATTCTTTTTTAGTCCCTTCATATGAATTGTGAATATTTGAGAACTCAGAGGGAAATGGAAGAAAGCTACCTGGATCCAGCTTTTCTCTTCAACAGTAACTCCTCAGAGCAATAACTTCTTTGTGTCCCAACTATGTGCAGGGCATGTCAAGCATTACAAAAATGACTAGGATATTTGCAATCATTTAGTTCATCAAACTATGATAAAGGGGAATAGGACACTTTCATAGGTGAAGATAACATACATGCAGCAAGCAGGATGTGGTGATTGCCAAAGTTATGAAGTGTTAGTCTTCAATGGAGGGGAGGCCAAAAGTAGGGTGTATGATGTGCATGTGCACGTCATGAGAGGAGAGCTCACAGGTGGTCTGTAGAGGAGACTCTTCCTTCAAATCTCCCTACCTCATTCTTCATCCTCACTTACATGTTTTTCCTTGATTATCTTATTTGCAAGGATGTGAGGAGAGGAAAAAAGATTAGAAAAGCAAGAAACAGAATATCCTTCCTCTAGAACAGGGGTGGGCAAATTACAGCCTGAAAGTCAAATCTGCCCTGCAGCTAGTTTTTGTAAATAAAGTTTTTGAGGATGTAGCAATGCCCGTTCATTTATTATTTTCCAAGGTATGGCACACAAAACGTAGAGTATTTACTATCTGACCTTTACAGAAAAGGTTTGCTGTTCTGTGCTGTAGAGATACTGAACAAGATCTTGCAAAGAATTCATAACTAAATTTCCTCCAAATACAGAGAAATAAACCTGACTATACAGCCACAGTTTTGTATGAGTAGCAAGGTAAATTTAACTGAAATTGATGGCTGCTTGGGAAGATTGGGAAATCTTTATTCCCAACATCTTGGCAGCCAGTCCAAGGATAGATGACCAGTGGAGTGGCACAGATCTGAAGGTGGAACACCAACCCAGCTGTGGATAGGGTTGCTGTGCACCCCCCAGCCCCCTCCATCTGCTTGGGCTGCCAGTCATGCAGATTGCAGTAACCACTAGCTTACCATGGCTCGCATTGCTAACTCTTGGTTTAGAAAGCACCTTTAATCCAAATTAAGCTGTTTGATTTCTCATTTTAGCAAAATATAGTTGAAGATGAGCTGGTAAGCACTTGACCAGTGATGGATTACCCTGTAGCCTGTGTAATAGCGTGGGCTGATTCCTGGTTACTCTGAGAAATTCTCAGACGCTGCTGGTTCTCCTGGACATCTTTGCTCACCAGCTGCTTACCCCAGGTTTTTTTTTTTTTTCCCCTTTTTGTCTTTTTTCGTGACCGGGATCGCAACCCTCAGTGTCGCGCCCACACCGCGCTCAGCCAGTGAGCGGACCGGTCTCTATATGGGATCCGAACCCTCGGTGGGAGCACCGCCACGCTCTCAAGCGTCGCACTCTGCCGAGTGCGCCACCGGGCCGGCCCAACCCCAGGGTTTTTTATGCTGCTGCCATTTTGTCTTTTTGTGCTCTGGGAACTTTGTTTATCTTTGTGATAATGTGGCCTTGTGTGGTCTGAAAAAGAAAAAGAGGAGTCTAGTTGTATGGATGAAGAGAGGATGGAGTATGGATGGATAAAGCTTTCAGTGACAAGTAGAGTATGACATAGATTTTTCAAAGTATGCCCAGCAAGTAAATTCTCATTTCTTCAACACTGATCTTATGGTATGTACGTAGGATTAGTACATAGGTACTGGTCTGTGGAGAGGGGAAGTACAGGGATTTTATTTGTATGCCCCACTGTTCATGTCCACCTTGGCAAAAATGGCTGCTTAAGGATAAACAGAGTCTTTGAAACTTAGAGCGCAGTTCACACTGACCATATGAGTCCCTGTGAGTGGTCAGAAGAGTGACTTTTGCCTTCTAATCTGTGGTCCTGATGGTAGCTTTCTAGACAGAAGGGGAGGCAATTTGAAAATACCGTATAAGAGCTGCTGCCACCATGAGGATAAAGTGATTAATTACAAGTATTCAAGGGTCTCCACGTGACATTTGTGGGAAGTATCACTCAAGCTCTGACTAAAAGGCCACTTCTGGTTCTGTTTCAGACCCCCACTACCTCATGTCTAGAAAAATACAGCTGCGTCCCAAGTGGTTTGCTGCCACCACCCTTAACAGTTCCTGCTCCCTTCTAGGTTAAACCGGGTGTAGCACCAATGGATGAATCTTTCTGAGGAATCACCATGTCCTGTCCCTGTTTAGAGCATTAATGGTGTCTCATTTCCTGGCAGACATAGTCATAACTTCCCGTCCTGGCATTCGGAGCCCTCTAAAGTCTGATTTCCACCTGTCCTTCAGTGCTGTCTGCCCTGGATTCTGCATCTCAGCCTTACCCTTTCCAAATCCAGGCTGTTCTAACTCCTCCTGTTGCTTTACATTTGCTCGCACCTTCCCCTGCTTGAGGGCCCTCCTACCCTCCTCTCCCTCCTGCCTGCAATTATTCTTTCAGAATCTCACCCATCCTTTGGGACACAGTTTATTTTGTTCTTTCTCTAATTCACCTTCTTTGGTCACGACCAATAGAGGAACCATTCTCTGGATTCCCAGGACAGTTAATTTACGCAATTGATTTGTGTACCTTTCTCACAGTGTTGTGGATAGTTGTGGGCCTGTCTCATGTCCCTCAGTCAGCTGGAAGCTCATTGCGGATTGGGCCTAATGGCTTAAGCATATTGGTATCTACAGGCAGTCCTTACATACATAGCTGTAGAGTGAATGAATTAGGGGGTGGGGATTGAATAATGGAGAGACAGGTGGGAGGGAGAACAGGATCAGCCAAGGACAGGCTGATTGATTGGGATTGATTGATAGCAGCGTCACGGTTATGTATATGAGGCCAGACCAGGTGTGGGGTGAGAGTAGCCCTGTTATGGTGCTTCCACAGGAACCTGCATCAACCCTCGTCAAGGACTGGAAAGTGTCCTCACACTTAGGAAAGTTACTGACAACGCGGGAGGGCACACTGCAAGCAATGCTTTTCAAAATATTTTTTCAAACTATTAAGAGTTTTTCGATTCTGAGCAAGCCTTCTCTCTAAAAGTAGCACATGTTATCTTGTAATGGCAAGACTGGGCTGAGTGCAGTGCACAGCACTCTGGTTGGCAGAATTTATACTAAATGTTTAGAGGTGGGAAGGATAGAAAAGGGAACTTCTAACTGAGGATCTCATAAATGTCATTGAACTGCTCTGATGATGTTTCCCTCCCCCACAGAACAATATGATACATCTTCAAAAACCCACCCTAATTCTCAGCAGGGAACATCGTAAGTAAAATGCTTTTGTTTATTAAAAGTTTATAGTATGACATTGTCATTTCCCATGTAAATCCATTGCTTAGATTTTTATTTTCTGCTCTCAAGCAATGACATTCATAAAATACTGCTGCATTGTAAAGGGAATAAATCCATTTATATTTGGATTAAGTTCTCCTATTGAAGGTTTACACATCATAGGAATTTGCTAAGGGGGTTTCTGAAAAGAAGGGTTTTTGAACCATTATTTACATATTAACTGTGGAAAATAGAAGCCCATGACTTAAAATTTTAGTCTTAAATAGTTTCGCTTTGGGAAATAAGTTTTGGGGGATGTACACAATATAAGATTTTCTGCCACTTTTTTGACCTAATTTTACTAATAAGGAGCTAGTGTGATGGCTCTGCTGTTCTTTATTAAGGCCAAGTAAGTCCAGATATATTTTGGGTTTGGGGAACATTTTAGACAACATATTAAAGATGTTTAACTCAGAATTTTGACCAGATCTGTCATTTCTTGATGGTATTGAACTATTATTTCTTTATTTTCGTACAACTAGAAGTGGGTATTAGTTACAAAGGCCTTTCTCTCCTTCAGGATCTACTCAGTCACTAATACTCTGAGCAGCTAGTCTCGGAGGATTTCAAATGGTCCAGGAGTTTAAGCTCCAACTTTCTTTTATTTGTGGGCACAATATTTGTTCCATGTATTTTGAAAGGTGGGGATTGCTGTGGATTATTATAAAAACTGTATTGTTTAGCTTAACAGGTTATTTTATCTTCTCGCCATGATGGAATGTGGGACTGGGTTAAATCATTGTTCCCAAGTGCCAGCTCCTTGATGCAGTTTGTTTTTATTTCACCATAGCCAAATGAGGGAAAAAAGAACAATATAATGAGATTTTTTTTTTGAAAGAATATTTATTATAATTTGAAAGATGGATTTTTTGCATGTGATAAAAATGTGTTTTGTTTCTAATGTCCTTTGCTGGGGAAAAAAGTTAACCCTATGTTAGTTATCTCCCCCCTTTTTCATGTTTTCTTTTTTTCCTTTTCGGAAACTTTGCTGGCTCTTAAATTCTGAGAGTCTAGAATCACTGGCTTATATTACATTTAAGGAGGGAAGAAGTTTGTTAAACCAGTTTGGGCTGGTGAGGAATAGAAGCTATACATGCAAGGACCACAGCTGCAAGAATTCTGTGCAAGCTCTGTAACTTCCCCAAGGTTTTGCACCATGTGCTTCTTTGTAAAGGTTGGTAGTTGAGCCCTATACACCATGAAAAGCCCTGGCCATTGTCTTTGGGGCAGCCAGAAAGGAGCAGCTGAAGCCTGGGCATCCCACTTGGGTGTAAGAATAGAGGGGAAGGCTCATCTGTAAAGCTTACTGGTTGTTGTTGAGGTCATATCCCCATCTCTTATTCACAGTTCTTCGGCTCTCCCGAAAACAAGAAACAAATATTTGTGCTGGTCATTTATACATTTGTAGGTTTATATTAAACTTTCAGCATCACAGAACATTCTTAATAGTAATTCTCAATACTGAATACCTGGCATTGCTAGAAAAAGATACACTTTACTTTCACTCCTGATTTATTTGATCAAATGAATGAGAATCCAGGGTTGTTTTAGCAACCCGCATACAGAATAAGGTCTTTTATATGTTTTTAGGAGGAAAGGTAGAGGTGTGCAATGAAGGAGAATAAGAAATATAGCTTCTCTTTTTTTTTTCTTCAGTGAGTTAATGTAAGAAATGTGAATTTGTAAGATTGGATACTGAAGGATTCCCATTCTTAAGTGAAAGGAAACAAACAACTGTTCTGTGCAATGTTAAAAAAAATCTGCTTATTTCACAGTTATAGTCACCAGGACACATTAAACTAGTATGTAGATGATATTGGAATCCCTAAATATAGAATCACTTCCTTTCTGAGGTCCCCTGACTCTAAGTCACGATAGAATTATTGTTTCTTAGAATAGTCAGTTTAGGGCCGGCCCGGTGGCACACTGCTACAGTGTGCCACTTGGGAGCGTGGTGGCGCTCCCGCCGAGGGTTCGGATCCCACATACAGACCGGTTCCCGCTCACTGGCTGAGCGAGGGGCGGGCGCAGCACCGAGGGTTGTGATCCCGTTGCCGGTCCCGGGCCGGGACAGGCGCGACACTGAGGGTTGCGGTCCGTTGCCGGACACGACAAAAGACACAAAAAAAAAATAGTCAGTTTAACTCTTGGATTAGTACATATTCTGGCTTCAGTAGACAATATTGTATAATCTCTTGCAGGACAGTATTTGATTTGACATTGTATACAAGTCCACGCTGAAAACTTTTGTTTAAGGATTATTCTGATGAGGATATGAAATGAGAAAGATTTTATTCTATTTTATTTTTTAAAAGATGACTGGTAAAGGGATCTTAACCCTTGACTTGGTGTTGTCGGCACCACTCTCTCCCAAGTGAGCGAACCAGCCATCCCTATATAGGGATCCGAACCTGTGCCTTGGTGTTATCAGCACCACACTCCCAAGTGAACCACTGGCCGGCCCCAAGAGAAAAATTTTAAATAATGTTAGAAATATTGTTAAAGTGCTAGAGGATTGTCCTCCACAAAGTATTCACCTTGGAATGATACATACTTAAATGATGCAGCCATTGCTTGAAATACTTTGGGAGCTCCCATTTAGAATAATATATACACCATACTTGATTGGCATAGTTTATGTTCTGTATAAGAAAAATTATTCTCATCATTCTTTTTTTTTTTTTTGTCCTTTTTGAGACCGGCCGCACTGCGCTCAGCCAGTGAGCACTGTGAGCGCACCGGTCATCCCTATATAGGATACAAACCCGCGGCGGGAGCCCTGCTACACTCCCAGCGCCGCACTCTCCCGAGTGCGCCACGGGCTCGGCCCTCATCATTCTTTAACATGCTTTTGATACAAATTATATAAATATTCTCTGGGATTGGCTCCAGGTGACTTGGAGATATTTCTAGTAATTGCCTCTATTCGGTGTATAATTATTGAACACATGATGTGTGCTTAGTGCTGCTTTAGGTACTTAGGGAAACATCTTCCACATTTTGTAACTAAATGCAGGTAGCATATAATGCAGAACAAGTTGATGTGATATTGACAGGCTTGGAGGTGGAGTTTTTTTTGGGTGGTAGTCACACTTCAGGGAGAGAGGTCAGGAAAGGTCTCTCGAAGGAGGTGACATTTGATCTGCAGCCTGAATGAAGAGTCTCTGAGGGCACTTGAAAACTTCAGGGAGTAGTTCTTTTTGGAAGTGACTACTTTGAAGGAGTTAACTTGCATACACAAAACCTGGTTTTAGGGGATCCTTAAGGGTTCATTTAAGCCTCAGTTTTAACCATAAATGCTAATTTACTACAATAAGTGACACTGGATTAATTTAAATATGGAATGAAAGATTGAATGAAGTATATTCTAATTTGCTAAGAATCCGTTTGCTTAGGGTCAATTTGTACATTTCATCCTCTCTGGGATGCTAGGGTGTTATTCCGACAAGACGTGGCCTACTTCCACAGGAATATTCATATCTCCTCCACCCCACCCCTGCCCAGCCTCCAAGACCGGACGTCCAGAGCCTACCCCCTACCACTCTCCCTCCCTATATGCAAGTTCACTTTTCATTCTGGCCACGTGTGCCTCTGTGCTGTCTTCCATGTCACTCTCTCCACAACACTTTTACTGCGCTCCCTTCCTCCTTTTAGGTTCCTCTTTGGGTGTCCCCTTGTCAGTGCATCTTCCCTAACTCTCTTATGCAGAAGGGCAGCCCGCAGCCATCCTTTCTCTTTGATCCTTTTCCCTCTCCATCAGCTCATTGCCCATTGAGGAAGTGTGTATTTTAGTTTATTTCCCGCCTCTAGACCATAAGCCCCACAACAGCAGGGATTTTTTTTTCTGCTTAGAGCTGTATCCATAGGATGTAGAGGAATGCCTGGCACATAGTAAGTGCTCAGAATAAATGTGGAAGGAAAAATATTACACATAACCTTCATTGAATACTCGTAAGCAGTATTTAATAGGCATGATTTTAAGTAATTTTCTAGATTTTGTTTCTAGTTGAAAGTGTCACACTTGTAGTATCTTATTTGTTATACTTACTGATTTAGTATTATTGATTTAACTAGATTTTTCTTCATTCATAATCTTGTGATTTTTCTCATTTCCTCATTTTGCCTCAATCTTCATTTCATCCATGGAGTTTAAATAATCTTATATAACTCTGGCAATAGTTTTTACTTTATGAACATTAAGCTCTCTCACTATAGTAAATCAAAAGTCAGTCTCCCCTCCATCTTGTTAGCCTGTAGTCTCCTGTAGACAGTCTCTCCTTGAGTTTGAATTCTGCCCTCTCTGCCAGCATTATTTGCAGAGTTCCTGTTAAATGTTGTGTCACAACTACTTAAAATCTGCTTTTTCACTTTTGCATTTATTTTATGTGGAGCCCTTCATAATTTGCAACCTCCCATTGTCTCTTACAAGACATTTGCAGTCCTTATTTCTGCCATGTATCAAAGAAGGAATCAAAGTCTTTGGAATTTAGAATTTAGGGATTTCTGGATCTGCCTTGGAGCCCAACCTGTATCTCCTGCCATGCCCATTCTGTCACAAATCAAGTATAAGTTTGTGAGATTCTGAAAGTTTTATATTCTCACATGCTCATTAGTGGTTTCTGAAAAGTATGACTTTCTTACCATTTTAAGCACACCTAATACCATGGTTGTGACTTACTTATTGCAAATAACTACGGTGAGCTTGCCTACCTTTGCTCTGTCACACATAAAATGATCATAAGAACTGTTAAGCCAAGAAATAAGTTTATTTAAATAACTTTTGGGTTCTGCCTTGAGGTGTTACAGAATATTGGTGGTGAAAGCTTCGGGCAAGCCCAGCACTAAGAAATGGAAAAGAAAGAAAGGCTTGTCTTTATGAGTCTTCACATGGTAACAATTGGACTGACTCACTGGAGCGTGCCTGCCAGAACCTGTACATGGCGCCTTGAGCTCGGCTAGAACAGCTGCCTGAAGAATGCATTTGTACAAAGCATTTTGAGAATTGTTTGTAATCTTTAGGTAAAAAGTTTACGTAACCAATAATGTAAAATGTGGTTAAACCTACATGGTGGTTCAAAGAGTTGCTTTACCTGAGCAACTTGGCTGCTTTTGAACAGTGCCAGAAAAGGCCATACGGTGCCATATGCTTTGAAACAACTGCCTTGCCTTGGAGTTTGGAATTGAAATTAGTTATTTGACTAGTTTAAAAAGCATATACAGTTTAAATTTATTTTCATAAGAGAAAAATAGTATATTCATTTTACCTCCAGCAGGATAGTTTATTTTATTTTAAATCAAGGGCTTTCTCTTTGTGGCATGTGGAGCTTAGATTTAATTTCATCAGTTGGGTTTTCTAACCTTTGTATCATATGTTGGCCAGAGCAAAGGAATCTTGTATTAGATGGAATGGATTTTGCATCCTGTCTTGGCATGTGCCAGCTTCATGATCTTGGGCATATTAAGTGGCTGTCTTCCTCATGTTTAGGATATGGGGGTTAGTCCTAGCCCTCACACAGGGTTGGGAGGATAGGCAATGCCCATAAAGTTCTGATCACATAGGGGCACAGCTGTGTGATACTGTTACTTATTCAGCAAAGTGGATGCTGTTCATTCAGTCAGCTTTTTAGGATATCTGTCAAGTTCTAGACATAGAGGATATGAAGATGAAAATGACTTGACCCTGCCTCTGAAGTTTCTGATTGAGAAGGAGGCGGCACATGGCTTGGGCCTTCTGTTCTCTTGACCTACGTTTTACTGGTATGAATGAGACTGGGTCCAAGAGATTTTGATTCTCTTTTAGTGGGTGCAAAGATGCTCACCCAGGTGTGCTGTAATTCACCTCCTCATTCTTCATATCCAGGGACTAGTTCTTCACATATGGTATGTGTTTAGCCTCAAATATAATTGTTTGTGGGACAAGCAGGATACCGATTCCTTTAAAAATCCTTCACCTGTCATCAAACTACATTTTCCTCAACTATATGGATTCTATTTTAAAAGGTCATGATGACATTCATGATCAATTTTCTGTATTAGCAAGATTTAGTCATGATTTTCAAGTAGCTTTTTAACTGTAGATGTAGTACTTTTTTTCTGAAGTTTTTGATTAAATAAAAAAAATTTTTTTTTTCTTTTCCTCCCCACCCCTGTCACTAATAGCGTGCTGGTTTGTTGAGTCACCCCTCTGGTGATAGAATAAACCCTTGTTTCTGGAAGATTCTGTGGTTGCTGTTTGCTGGGTTGGCAGACACTGACAATAAACATATGTCTGCTGATTCTCATGTGAGATATGTTTATTCTTTATCAAATAAATTATACTCACAAATTGTGATGGCGAAATACTTAGTGTGTAAATGCCAAGAACATCCTTGGAATAAGTGATGGGTTTTGTTTGATCTTATTTGCTTATCATTTCTTTTTGAGTGTTTCTTCAGAGGTATCTTTTGCAATCTTCTTTCAGAGGTCACTGTCCCCATTCTTTAGGTCCAAATAGATTTTGTATCTGCTGGCTTATTTTGTTTCTGTCTGCATAATTCTCTGAAGGGGAAGTTTTCATATCCTGGGAAAGCATTTTCATGGTACCTGTTACCCTGAAGAGTAAGTGGATCTAAAAGTCAGAACTTTCTCTAACTTTCTGACTTTAGGAGAGTATATTTATGGAAGTTAGGTGTTTAGTAGCTACGTGAAAAAAGTTATGGGATTTTCAATCTTCTGCTTGAAATAAGAAGTATGATTGTATTACAGGATCATTGATGTTACAGGAAATTAAGGCAAATCAGTTTATATAAAACAAACCCAGTGACTAAGAAACATAGAGGTACATTTACTGTAGTTTCATTGCTGGTGGTTAATATTGAGTACACTTCATCAGATTTTTTTTTCTGGTTGTATTATACCTTACATTTGTTCCAAATATATCTTTTATTTTTTGCTTATGTGTTCCCCAGCCTAGTCACAATTTAGCAGTTAACCTGTTGAGTGACTTTTTTTGGTACAACATTATGATTGCTAACTTCCAAGTCCTATGACTGTAGGCTATATTTTCTAGCCTTGCTAAAATATGCATTTAGCTTCTATTAGATAAATATTGAGCAAGACCTACATTTACAAATAGCTAACAGTTGTAATTTTATTTAGAAACTTATCACAAGATATATATATATTTTTTCTTTTTGTCTTTTTTCGTGACCAGTAATGGGATCTCAACCCTTGGTGTCGTGCCCGTACCGGCAATGGGATCGCAATCCTCGGTGTCGCGCCCGCACCGCGCTCAACCAGTGAGCGGACCGGTCTCTATATGGGATCTGAACCCTCGGCGGGAGCGCCGCCACACTCCCAAGCGCCACACTCTACCGAGTGCGCCACCGGGCCGGCCCACAAGATATTTTTAATACATTTATTGGTGAAAGTAGTTCCTTAGCAGAATTACCACGTTGCATGTAGGCAGTCATTTATGAAAGAGCCAAGTTTTGTCATTTATTTTTATTAGAAAATACAGTGATTTTACCATGTTTCCCAAAATAACCATGCCTGCTTACTTCAGTGGTAGGTAGTGGTTTGGCAATAGAAATTGTTGGTTAGATTATTGAAGAAGTACTTATAGAAATACTGAAGGATTTTTAACTTCTAATATAATTTGCTTTTTGGAACATCAGATAGCACGATTTCCCATGCCCGTGTGCGCCTGCACTGCCGCCCCCTCCAGCCCCCCCAGTTTTACTTATAACATTCCCCCAAATAGTCAAGGTCATAGCAGGAAGGAACAATTACTGATTCTCCTTTGGTATTTGAGTATCTCCATGGAAGAAGATTAAGGGTGGGGGGAGCTGTTAAAATTTGAGAAAATATGTACAGATTAGAAAATGTTTGCTTTTAATGTTTAGGTTAGTTGTAAGCCAGAATGCCTAGAGATAAGTCTGAGGAAGTGAACTTTTCTCCCACCAGAACAATAGCAGTAAGTTTAGACATACTCACTAGACGACAGTAGCGTTTGTATTTACTACCCTTCCCATTGATTAGTGTTCAAGCAGAAAAAGAAGTAATTTTTTGCATGTAAAAAACAGAGCTCAGTCTTCACAGTGTCCTTTGGACAAAAATGTGAGATAACTGCCTGCACTGTTGTGGTGACAGTTGCTTTGGAAGCTTCATATATCTTACTAGGTATTTATTCTTATATAGCACTTTTTATGTGCCTGGCACTGTTCTAAGTACTTTACAAGTATTCATTCATTCAGTATTAACTCATTTAGTGGTTAATCATTTTCTACTTCAGTTAGAGACTATGGAAGAAAATAATTTGTATTGTGTACATTTTTTTCTTTTCTTCTTTCTCCCTTTCTTTTCTTTTTTGGTTTATTTGTTTGCGTGAACCCTGTCCTCACTGACTAGGGTTTGGGGACTTTAGTCTCAGGGCTGGCAACAAATCCCTGTCCCTGGGGTATTTCTGCTTGAATGTTCAGAACATGTGAAAGCTTGAGTTTTGAGAGGATAGGGGGCTTGAACTGAACTGGTTTCTGTGTTATAATTGTAAAATGTACATTTCCAGGAAAATAAAGCATTTGATGAATAAAGGAAATATCTATCCTGCCCCTCTTTTGTGTCATGAGACATATTTTCTGTTTATATGCTAAAGAATTATTAGAAACTATTTCAACTTCTGCATTGTCTGTCCCTGCCCATTCCAGCATGCTCGAAGACGATCTTCAGCTCAGTGACAGTGAAGACAGTGACAGTGAACAAGTAAGTTTGATACACCCCATAGTACCAGGAATCCTTAAAACCCATCTAATATATCTGAGCTGCTTATCCTAACCTGTTTTTTGTTCTTTTCCTGGTCTTTCTTCTCCTTACTGTGAATGCCTAGACCCCAGAGAAGCCTCCTTCCTCATCTGCACCTCCAAGGTACCGTGTGGGTTTCTCCACATCTGTACAGAATGTTTATGTTTTTGTACCAAGTGGGAAAATTTAGTACTTTCATAGTTTCTTCATGGGGAAGGAAATGAAGGATCACAGTTAAAGGAAAGTACCTGTTTAATATTTTGGAAACTTAAATTAAGCCGTAGGGAGGTTGTTAACTCTATAATAAAGTGAGGGAGTCCCCTCACACAGCTGCATCATCAGTTTGGATTTTAAAATTTTTTGAGAGTTTACAAATAAGCTGAGGGGCTGGCTGGTTAGCTCAGCTGGTTAGAGTGCAGTGTTGTTAACACAAAGGTCAAGGGTTCGGATCCCTGTACTGGCCAGCCACCAAAAAAGATAAAGCTTAAAATATGGCTTATCATCAGTACTGTGTAACCAGTATTTGAAAAGTTAGACTGAAGAGCCTAATGTTTTTATGAAGGTGACAGATTTGCCATGTTTTCAAAAATTACAAAGCTGAATTATTTGTAGAACTTGTTTTCCACTGTGCCTGCTTTCTTAGTTATGTGAATTTTCAAATTGTTTCAACTGCTTTTTAAAATGACCTGCAGTACATTTGAGTGTGATGGAAAACTGTACTGTTTTTAATTTCTAAAACAAGCCAGCCATATTTTAGAAAATGTGGTGCTTTGATATTTGGAAATGGAAACTGTTTGAACTATTTTTATAATATTTTCCTCTAAATTTAATGATTTAATATGCCAAATACCTGCCTTTTGTGGACATAGAGTTAAATTATTTTAATCCCTTGAGATGTTTGCATCTGTTCAGAGGCAAGATCAGCAATAAACAATTGATTATCATACAGATGATATTATAGTTAATGTGGCAGAAGCTCATGTAATTATGTGAAGTTTTACAGATTCATAAGGGTTTGCTTGTGTATGTCCCATTTTGCTCAGTAATTTCTGGTGGGTTATGAGGATCATAAAATATGACCAAGTAGCCTAACTTATAAGTGGAGGAAAAGAAAAAGAAAAAAACCAAGGTGGGGATAAAATAGAGGTAGGAGTATCATTGAAAGTGTATCCCATTCTGATGTTGTGGTCTAAGTTCTTCAGCTGCCTGTGTGAAAAGGATTATAAATTTGAGACAGCATTTTATATGAAGCAATTATGTGGTGGTATAGTGTGCTGTGTTAAAATTACTTCAACTAGTGATTTTATCATTATTTAATAATCTAATATGATAATGTGTTTAATGAAAATTAATTTTGAAAATATTTTTGGTAGATTAAAGATTAATGATTGCTTTAGCTAATACTATCTAGGGCAAGGTTTTAAGATACTATATGCTTTGAAATTATTTGTGTATCTAGCTGTGGGATCAGTGTGATTTCTCACTGACCTAGAGTTGCTGCTGTATTCTGAAAACTTGGAGTAATATTTGGGGGTGGTCCCTAAGCCACTCATAAAGAATAGCACATTTTATAGTTTTGCCCGAGAAGCATGAATGGATTGCCTTTGAGCTCACCTTCCCAAGAAACACCGTTTACATTCAGCAGTCTTTAGTACCATGCAGTTAGTTCTCTTATAGAGAACACAGGGAGATTTTAAACTTATTGGCTTTTCTTTTATAAATTAGTTTTTTTCAGTTGCATATAGCAGGAGTCAGCAAACTAAAAGGGCCAGATAGTAAATGTTTTAGGTTCTGTGGGCTACATACATCTCTGTTGCAATTCTTCAACTCTGCTGTTTGTTGTATAAAAGCAAATAATATATAAAAGAGTAGGTTTGTTCTCATTAAACTTTATTTAGAAAAACAAGCAACCAGCCCAGGCCATGGTTTACCAACTCTTCATATAAAGGACCCAGCATCTTACTTAAATTTGGTATAGCTTGAAATGTTCTTCAGGAGTCAAATTCCACAGGCTTCTCTTAAATACCACTGTGGGCCTCTTTCTCAACTGGATGATATGATAGTTCAGTAGTATTAGGTAATACTGAAGCCCTTCCTTTCAAGTGGCAGAAAAATGTGCAGAGGATAAAGAGAGATGAAATCTACCTTGTGTGGTGTCTTCTAATTTTATCTTTTGGTTGCTTTGCAGTGCTCCACAGTCGCTTCCAGAACCAGTGACATCAGCACGTTCCAGTAGTGCAGAGTCAGAGAGCACCAGTGACTCAGACAGCTCCTCAGACTCGGAGAGTGAGAGCAGTTCAAGTGACAGCGAAGAGAATGAGCCCCTAGATGCCCCGGCTCCTGAGGTACCGTGTCCCCCTCGAAAAGGCTGTTTAAGATGGCAGCATTCTGTCTTTTGGGGGCTAGAGGCTGTGCTGTGGGCCAGGACTGACCATAAAACCGAGTAGTTCTGTCCCATGGGCAGTGCTTTCCTGCCCCTATGCTGTGTAGAGCCATCTGGTTCTGTTTGCATATTTCTTGCCAAATATTTGGCAGTGGAGATTTGGGGGAGATGTCTTCTCTCCCCTGTTCAGAATGATAGGTTCTTCTCTGTTGCTAGTGTTGTTTGGAAGAGCAACTCATTAGGGATGTTTGCACACCATTTTCTTTCCCTGTTTTTTTGAAAAAGAAAACTTGTTTTCAGAAGGCTGCTGTTTTAATATTAATGAGAATTCTTTTCGAAATTTCAGGAATGCATGAATTAAGGGAAGCAAAAGGAGATCGCCTGATTTAGCAAAGGGCAGGAACATGAACTAGAAATAAGTCATCAGGAGTTCTATTTTTGAATCACTAAAAGCCATGCATTAAATTGATGGCAAAGTGATTTTGCCAGGGTTCTGTTTCTTGCTCTCTTCTGCCCCATGTAAAACAAGGATTACTGTTTGCTTGTCTCTTACCCTCAGGAGCTATTGTAAAGATGACCAAACCGATAAGACCAAAAATCTCAAGCACTAAATTTATCTAGAGGATTTATGCTATTTACTGGACTGTTGAGCATAAGAAATTGTTCATAACAACTAACAGGTTGCTAAATACTCTCAAAACTTGAGTAGCAATGTAAAAATTATGCCGGGGAAGGATAGTAGTGAAAAAGAAAGGCATTCTTATTTTATTTTTGGTGAACGAGACTATCCTGTATAGAGAAAATTATTCTGTGTATTTAAGATGGGAATGTCAGAAAATGAAATTTTCTAATTAAGAAAGCATTAAACTTTTCTGTATTTGTCTTTGCTATTTAGAAAGAAAGGCACTAGAGTATTAACTGAATAGATTTGAAGATCATGCAGTGAGACTTAAGGGCCTTGTCTGAGGGCAAGAGAGGCTGAGAAAATAACTGGGTATCATTTTTTGTCAGATGTGAATCTATGTCTGGCACGGAATAAGAGCTGTGTATTTTTTTGGAGTGAATTAACATGGATCAGCACTAACTGCACTTGAAGTGCCTTTCAGATTTTAGAAACTACTGTGTTTCTGGGGCTTCTCATTTCCTTATATGATACTAATTGCTATCGAAACAATTTTCTATGCCTTAGGGAAAAGAATGCTGAATATGCTATGCAGACAAATTGTGTGATGTTCATTGATAATGTTTATAAGATCTTTGCTTTAGATTTCACCTTATGCAATAAGAAAAATTTGCATGCTTGTTGGATTGTTGATAAAAGAAAGATAATGCAATTAAATAATAAAATTCAAATAAAATGGAAATGGTAGAGATTTGGCTGAATAATTGAAACTAGAAAAAAATCTTAGTCTGATGTTCGTAGTAATGAGACACAATTATATCTTATTATTCCAGAAGTGTTACTGGAATAGATTGAGATTTTGTGGATATAAAATAAATACTACATCCTGACGTATTTTTAAAAATTACTTTACTAAAAATATTGAGCTGCAAAGCCAGGCTTGTGGACCATTGTATATTATGAACTATAGCTAATCTTCCCAGGCAAAGTTTATCTTTAAATTTTTAAAACTTCAATTTTCCCTGAGGTATTAAACTACTTTTCTTTCTTTTTAAAATTAATACCTGCGTTATTATAAATGTCCTATGTTAGTTGAAAGTAACATGAATTCCATAATTGGCTGTATATAATAGTTTTAACTTTCTCACCAACTTCTATTTTTAATACTAAGAGATTTGTATTTTATGGCACCATTTTAATTTATTTCATTTGATGAAGTAATCCCAGTGATCTTCTGAGATCTGGAACGTTATATCCCTGCCAGTGGGCTTGTGCTGAACTTGGGAACCAGCCACTATGGATCCATTTCAGAGTCTGCTTTATAATGTGAATCAAAATGTAAATCTCAGCTTTTCGAAATATGTGGGACACATTTGCCTTTTTGCTGCTTAAGTAAAGTTCAGAAAACAAGAATCTGCTGAGTTTTCTAATCTATTCATTGTCCAGTCCTTTGGTGGTAAACTCTCTTGTGTTGATTACTTACTGGGCTCTTGGAGTTTTTTCATAAATCGATGTTAACTGGCCCCTCCCCAATCCTACGAGATTGGTAGCTTTCTATTTGCCTATAAAGAAGCTGCAGCACTAAAATTCAAACCCTTAGCCATTCAACTCTGAAACTTGTTTTTTTCCTACTGCACATATTTTTTTCCTATCTGCTATACCTACATTTATTGTAAATCTGTTAGTTGAGAGTAACAGGAATTCCATAGTCAGCCATAGATACTAGTTTTAACCTTCTCACCCTTCTTTTTATTTCTTCTGTCTTTAGTGCGTTTTCTCTTTTTTTTAAAAAAAAAGGGTTGCACTCATATCTCCTGCAACTATGAAGTTTTGCTTTAAAAAAAAAAAAAAAGTAGGTGTATGTTGTGCGCAGCTCAAAACTTACTAAAAACCATAATTCATTCTAACATAACACTTGGCTTTTGCCAATTGAAGAGCTTAGGAGAGAGAAAGCCACATTAAAACAGTAAAAAATGGCCGGCCCGGTGGCGCACTGCTATAGTGCGCCGCTTGGGAAGCGTGGCGGCACTCCCGCCGAGGGTTCGGATCCCACATGCAGACCGGTTCCCGCTCACTGGCTGAGGGAGGCTCGGGAGCAACACCGAGGGTTGCGATCCCGTTGCCGGTCCCAGTCCAGTGCGGGGGTGACACTGAGGGTTGCGATCCATTGCCGGACACGGAAAAAGACAAAAAGGAAAAAAAAAAACCAGTAAAAAATAATCATATACTTTTTTCCCACTTTCAATTTGCAGTATTTGGGTTGCACCAGCCCTAAGAGGACAGAAGGAGATGAGAAAGGCAGAGGGAGAAGTGAATGTTCAAACCTCGATCCTATTTGGCACTTAAAATTCATTTTTAAGTCTATTTTTAATCAGTCTTTTATGCAAACGTAAAGACTTCTTTTTATTTTTCTCAACACCCAAATAATATCCTACCTTATTTGTTTTACAACTTTATATTGGATACACAAGAGGGACTGCCCTGACTACCCTTCTCCTTGTCTGGGCACACCAACTCAGTTTTACCCTGAAATTGGGCCATAGGCCTCCCTTCTGGACCTTTTTAGGACCACAGAAGAAGTAAATGTTTTATTTCTGTAACCAGGACATTCCTTCAGGGACTACTAAATGTATCTCAATACTTGCCCTGTTTTGGGGTGGGGGGAGCAGATGTTATTTATACCAGGAATGACTTCCCTTTTTGTTTCACGCACACAGACATGAGCACAACAGTGATTGGGGTGCAGTTGTAAATGCAGCAGGAGGGTGAGATGTATCCGTACCTTTCCTGGGGAAGGGTGTGCCCAGTTCAGTTCCTGACTCAGTTGGCAAGCGATGTATCTTACTGCCTTGTCCGATCAATTGGCACTAGTGTTGCCACACCCTTAAGTCTTTTGCAGGAAATCATGTTTGACAAGTGGGTATTGTGTGCTAATCTTCTCTCTACCCTTAACAATCATTCTGTCCTGTTAGAATATTGAATACAGATGTAGATTACATATGACAAAATGCCTGGCTCCTCATAGTGGTTTCCTTCTTCCTTCCCTTCCCTGAAATTCAAATGAGAGCATGGGTATAGAGTTGATATAACTGGAGGAAACTGTAAAGGAGATACTAGGGTGCTTCAAAAAGTTCTTTGAAAAATAGAATTAAAAGATAATAAAACTCTTTCCATGAACTTTTAAAGTACCCTAGTGTGTTATCATAAACAACAGTGCGTGGGAAGCAGGAAAAAAGGAATTATGCCGCCATCTTCCTGTCCAAAGTATGGTCCTACCTGGTTTCTTCAAGTTCCTCTTAGTTCTATTCTGTTAGAATTATACTAAGCCCAAACTACCTGATCATTTTATTACCTAACCCTTCCTGGTCAAGCCTATATGTCATATTCACATATTCTGCATTATTAGGGTTGCATGTTTTTATAGAGTTGAATTATTTGGTATATTCCACTTGGGAAAAACTACCAGCAGTCTTCCTCCTTAAATTCTTCACCTACTGGAGTGGTGTCCTTGTCCATATCTAATCAGTTAAGTCCCATGTGGAATATCTTTCAATTTACTTTCTGGTGCATTGTGTGTGTGAGTCGTTCATACAAACCACTTGTCAGAATGGATCACATCAGGAAAACATGTAACAAGCCAGTGATGTGCTGCCCTTTAAAAAAACAAAAACACAAAGACAGTTAAGATAACAGTAGAAGTCAGGAACTTCTATTTATTTGCCAAATCAGTTGTACAGGTGATCAGTGTAATCTCATTGCTCTTATCTGTGTGGTCTGGAGCTTCCCTTTCGAAACACAGGTGCTATTTCAGACCAGGCTGCCTGTAATGAGAAACTTAACATTTGACTTTTAAAGAATCCACGTGGGACTAATACTTAGCTAATGTGATTCATTTCCCCCTTTTGTTATCTATTACACTAGTTTACAAAGCAAAATGTCAGTTCTGTTTAAATTATACTGTAATTACCATTAAAACACTTGTTACAAAGGTTTCTCAGCAGTCCTCCATGACCTATTAGTATCTAACAAAACTCCCAAATCACACAAAAAATTGAATGTTGTTTGAAGAGTTAATTATTATTTGACTTCTAATTTGAAGAGGGTAAATAGAACCTGAATTCTTAGGTTTGGAATGATTCTCTCTTCCTGGGACAATCCTGTATAATTGGGTAACTAACACAAAAGAATAATTTATCATCGTTGGCCAGCTAATGCTTTTCTCTATTTCCTTATTTTTAGCCCGAGCCTCCAACGACCAACAAATGGCAGCTGGACAACTGGCTGACCAAAGTCAGCCAGCCAGCCGTGCCACCTGAGGGCCTTGGGAGTGCAGAGGCCCCACGCCGGCGCCCAGATAGCAAGGGCGCCAGCGACAGCAGCACCACCTCGAGTCAGGAGCATTCTGAACCCAAAGATCCTCCCCCCAGAAACTCCAGCAAAGCCCCCCGTGGTTCTTCTGAAGGCTCCCACCTTGGGAAGAGAAGCTGTCAGAAGTCTCCTGCACAACAGGAGCCCCCACAGAGGCAAACCGTTGGAGCCAAACAACCCAAAAAACCTGTCAAGGCCTCTGCCCAGGCAGATTCGCGGGCCAGCTTGCAGGTGGACAGCGAGCCAGGGCTGCTTCCCTACAGCTCCAAAGCCCAGGCTTCCAAAGACAAGCCCAAGGTGAAGACGAAAGGAAGGCCCCGAGCTGGAGGAAGCAGAGAGCCCAAGCCAGCCGCGCCCGCGCCCACCCCCAGTGAGAAGAAGCAGCACAAGAGCAACCCCCCGGAGCCCCCCAAGGCGCTCTCGGGCCCAAACCCCGCGAAGGACAATGTGGAGGACAGGAGCCCTGAGCACTTTGCTCTTGTCCCCCTGACCCAGAGCCAGGGCCCAGCCCGCAGTGGCAGTGGCGGCAGCAGCATCAGGACTAGTGGCTGCCGACAAGCCGTGGTTGTCCAGGAGGACAGCCGCAAAAACAAACTCCCACTGCCTTTGAGAGACTCCAAGTTGCTCTCGCCGCTCAGGGATACTCCTCCCCCCCAAAGCTTGATGGTGAAGATCACCCTAGACCTCCTTTGTCGGGTACCCCAGCCCCCTGGCAAGGGCAGCCGCCAGAAGAAGCCAGAGGATAAGCAGCCACCCACCGGGAAGAAGCTTGATTCTGAGAAGAGAAGCTCAGACAACTCCAGCAAGTCGGCCAAAAAGAGAAAGGTGAGCGAAAGGAGACTGACCTCCCACTTCCCTGGGGAACGCCCTTGCTGTTGGCCTAGGGGTGCCTTCGATTGGCCCTTGATTGAAGCCCAATTCTGAGCTGTGTTAGAAGAGGCTGGAAACCTTTGCTTTCATTAGATGTAGGCTTTGCTCCTTCTGCCACTCTTTGTCTGGACTTTGAGGCTTCCCTTTCTACAGACAGGTATTAACAAATGTCAGGTGCCTTCATCAGTCTTGCTAGGAAGAAAAAAGGTGAGGCAGTCATGAAAAGGATAGCTTCTTGTAGCATAATGTAGTGTTTGAGGGTACATTTCTATTCTGATAACGGTGGTATTTACCACCTGGCCCATTAGGTTTTGCTGCAGAAATTACGATCTTACATGAATTGATTGAAAGTTAATTAGTGTTCTGAATTACTAAAGGAATTGCTTTCATTAGATGTAGGCTTTGCTCCTTCTGCCACTCTTTGTCTGGACTTTGAGGCTTCCCTTTCTACAGACAGGTATTAACAAATGTCAGGTGCCTTCATCAGTCTTGCTAGGAAGAAAAAAGGTGAGGCAGTCATGAAAAGGATAGCTTCTTGTAGCATAATGTAGTGTTTGAGGGTACATTTCTATTCTGATAACAGTGGTATTTACCACCTGGCCCATTAGGTTTTGCTGTAGAAATTACGATCTTACATGAATTGATTGAAAGTTAATTAGTGTTCTGAATTACTAAAGGAATTGCTCTATACACATTTTACTCTTGTAGTATGATCTTGTAAATGTGAATATTCATGTTTTAACTCATGACCATTTAACACATCATTAGAGCTATTAAACATATGGTTAGGATAGTTTGTCAAGTAATACAGGCTAGTATGGTACATTGCGAAGTACTGAACATCTGTCATTAACAGTTTTTGGAAGTTTCATTTAAGGAATGGACATGGTAAAAAAAAAAAAATCCCTGCATTATTTAAGACCCTCTGTTACTTGGACATACCACTATTTTGGGCAGTCTCCTTCCTTCTTTTATTCCTAATCATTGAGCTCTTGATCTATTTTTTTGCTTCTTAATGACAATGAAAGATGAGTGACTTTTACCCCAGTGGCATTCCCAAGCCCAAGATTGGAACAAAGGCACAAGATGGTCCAACTTCTTTTGCTGAATGGGAATAAAAATTTGAATCTTAATGACAATGAAAGATGAGTGACTTTTACCCCAGTGGCATTCCCAAGCCCAAGATTGGCACAAAGGCACAAGATGGTCCAACTTCTTTTGCTGAATGGGAATAAAAATTTGAACACTCTTATAAGTACATGAACAACTTCTTACTCAGCTATGGAAGCTGAGCTGAGAATAACAAAGGAAAAATAAAAACAGCATGAAGCCTGCTGTCATGTCAGAGATTCGGCTGATTAATCCACTAGGTTAAAAATATAACACGACTTTATCAAATAGTGAAGGGCCACTGTTTTCTCCAGAACCTTGTTACATTAGACATGAGGGTATGTACTGCCACCACTTCTGCTGCTGGAAGGTTGAGTGGGATGGGATCAAGTTCTAATTAGTGCTAATTAGTGTTTCAGCTAGAACAGGGCATATTTTAAGTGTCAGAAAACTTTCAAAAACTTTTTAAATGGGATGGGTGTGTCTTTGTTAAAGGTACAGAACTTTATGGAGGAAATTGTGATGGACCTGGTTAGGAAAAGGGGCTTGCATCTAACGTACCTGAGAAAACTTCAAGAATACCCTCATTTACCCCCTTGTCCTGGGAAATCTTCTATCACCTGTACCTCCTAGCTGCCATGGTCTCGGATATTCTCCAGTGCTAACCTGCATTAGTTGGAGTGGGGAGAAGTATTTGGTTTTCAAAGGCCTACTTACCAGGTGGAAATGTTAGAAATTGGAGGATCCCCTAGAGAGTTTGCAGCCCAGGTCCCTACCCCAGGGCAAATCTACAAGTGTTGCTCGCAGCTTTAGAAAGGGAAACTTCTAGCTCTCCCTCTTGACTATAGGAACTGTGCCCTCTGAGAGGTATTCCCACGTTTTGGCAGAGCCCTCCTCTAAGGTAGTTCGTTTATCTTCCTGTTTAGAGCATGGAGAAATAATGATCCCCTCATCTCAATTGAGTGTGTGATTTCTTCAAAGCTCCGGCAAGTAGCTGAGAGATCTTGCCCAGGGAACAGTCTGCTAAGGTAGTTCGTTTATCTTCCTGTTTAGAGCATGGAGAAATAATGATCCCCTCATCTCAATCGAGTGTGTGATTTCTTCAAAGCTCTGGCAAGTAGCTGAGAGATCTTGCCCAGGGAACAGTCTGCCTCTCTGTGGTACTGACAGGATCAGGCTCTAACCCGTTGGTTCCACACCCTGGCTACACATTAGTCATCTGGGGAGCCTTTAATACTGATGGCAGGGTCCTTCCCCACACCCCATTGGCATTTTAAAAATTCCTTAGGTCATCCCAGTACCTAGCATGGCTGGGAACCACTGGAGCAGAGCGTTACAACAGGGCCTGAGATGGTGCAAAGCTAGTTCTTTGGACTGAAAAATTCCTCAGGTGTGCTGTGTTCAGACTTTATAGATCTATGCAACCCAGATTTCCTTGCCTGAAATATGTCATTAGTTAGAAAAACATTACTTAGAAGCTTTCAGATAAATAAATACAAAAACCAGTCAACTGCATGCTTATTTCACAATCACAGAATCTTGTGTCTCTTAGGTTTTTTTTTTTTTTTTACTTTCTGCTAGATTCCAGGTGGGAAGTACTGCACATACTCATCTCAGATCCTTTTCTGTGATGAAACTCTCAGATGTGGCGCCCACAGAAAGGCACCTATATTTTTTCACTGCTTTAAAGGAGTGGGTAAGGAACGATTCATGAAGAAAAGTGGAGAAAATTGTGAGGGTAAATAGGCATGACTCACACAGTGCTCCTTACGTAAACTACCACATTTCAGCTATCTGATTACAGTTTAGAATTTAAAGTACTAACTTATATTTTCTTTCATATAATTCTTAAACCAAGCTTATGTTTTCCAGATTTGGAAGAAAAATGGAAGTTGAGAATCACAATATAATCTACAGTTAGGCCAGTGCAGTTGGGAGCGTTCTAAAAATGTAGCCAACATGCCCAGAGCTCCACGTATGAGGCCCACATTGTTCCAGGCACTTCTGTAGATAACATCTCACTCAATTCAAACATCTTCTAGGTTGTCTTTTGCCTAAATGGATAGTCTGTCTTAATAGTCATTTAGACAGATAACTGGACAAGTCTTTTCTTTTTTTCTAAACATTTGCTTTACTGACTGAGAAACTTTACAGTTTTGGGGAAACAAATTTCAGCACTGTCATTTATGTGTGTTTTGAGGAGTGAGGAAGGGAAGTTACGGTATGTGGTAGGAAAACATGCGTTTTTATTGCTTGGGATGGTTGGTTTAGTCTCTCTCTTCCATCCAAGAACTGACTGTTTTTTCTTGGGTTATTTCTCCAGATCGACATCCCTAGTTATTATCTTTCAAAATCAAGGTTTGAAAACTCTCCCTTATAATTTACTAAAGCCACTTACATGTAACTTCTTCATGCCTTTTAGTTACCCTGAGAAGAGCACCACAACCACATGCACCTGGTAGCTAAGGCTGTTTTAAGTCATTCTAATGCCTGTGTGTATTCCATCACTGTATTAGTCCATTTCTGTTGCTTATAACAAAATACCTAGAACTGGGTAATTTATAAGAAAGCAGAATGTATTGCTTACAGTTTCAGAGTCTGGGAAGCCCAAAGTCCAGGGAACACATCTGGTGGTGACAGTGACCCTGGGGTCTCACAGGGCAGAAAATGGCAGAGCAGAGATTTTTAACCTCTCATGTGCTTGAACACATCTGGTGGTGACAGTGACCCTGGGGTCTCACAGGGCAGAAAATGGCAGAGCAGAGGTTTTTAACCTCTCATGTGCTCTTCTTTTAAAGCCCTCAGAACCACGCCCCTGACCTCCATTATTAATCCATTCAGTAGTTCATGGTCCTACAGTCTAATCACCTCTTGAAGGCCCCACCTTTCAGTTACCATAATAGGATTTCCTACCCTCAGCAGTTACAGTGGGCATTAAGCTTCTAATATATGAACTTTGGGGACACAATTCAGTCTATCCACAGCACTCACCAAAGAGAAAAAAAGTGGATTAATTTTTCTTTTTCTGTAGTACTTATCCCAGTAAACATAAGCCCCTGCCACTGTTCTTGGTGCAAATGAGGACTTAGTGTCCCCTGTGTCTCTTTCTTACTGAACCTCCTTCAGAGACAAATCACAGGAAAGTACCTGAATTTCCCAAAAGGTTGCTCCTCCAGTTTTATGCTCCATGTGCTACCAAGCTCATTTGGGAGAAGATGATAGCATCTTAGGGTTTAAGTGCTGAAAGAACCCTAGCAGTCACTTGTAAAGCTGCTGCTTTTCATAGGTGAGATCCAGAAAGGTGCTAACATCATTGGGCTGCATAGTAAAAGTGGGTCCAGAGCTCAGGTGTGCTGCCTTCTCCCCATCCAGTGATCTTTCCTCTTTTTCACACGTTTCCATGTGCAAGTGTCTGTTGGGGGAATTCTTGAGTGAGGCACAGGGTCAGAGTTCAAGATCATCCCTGGATCAGTTCCTGTTGTCCCCACCACGGCCACTTCAATATCCGCACACACCTCTCCACTTTGCTTTCCCTTTCAGAGGCTCCTGTCTCCCCCATCATAGCCAAGCTGCTTCCTGGTAGACTGTATCTTTCCACCTATTAGAAACTCTATCACCCACAATAAGTGGCAGTTCTGGAAAAAGCCACCTTCATTTTCCCCTGCCACCTACAAGTACTTACATGGTGAGCCGGATGCTGGGGCAGGTACCAGGCTGCCTGAAGGCATTCTCTTACAGAAAACCACCTGGCCTCACATAGTCCCATCTCTTCCTTTTATGGTCTTCCTTCTTGCCCTTCTGCTCTACTCTGTAGGTGGAGCAGCATTTGGCAGATAATTCAGGCTGCCTGACCCAACAGGTTAAGAAAAGCAAACAAGTCAGTCAGGAGCAGATTGGCAGCTAGCAGCCTCCTTTTGTGGTAGGTGCAGGTACCACCAAGACAAACTTATCCTTATGGAAAAAGAATTTCTGAAACCCAGACCTCTGACCAGATTCTCTGAAATGGCAGTGATCTGGGCATAAACCACAAGGCAAAGGAACCTCTTTTTCCTCCTGAAGAGCAAGTGTATCACGATCATCTGATTTCCAAATGGTTTTTTGACCCCCCAAAATCTAAACGTCATGCCTCCTGTTTTTCGGCAGATCCTGTTCTTGGAATTCAAGCCTGTGTTTTGTGTCACCCAGTGTTGCATGGCTTCCACTTTGACTCTTTCCTAAATCTGTCCACTTATAGTTGTAGTGCAGTCCTGCTTCCAGGGGCCTCAGCTGTGTCCCTCAGCTGCTAAGCTTAATTTCTGTGCCAGCTGACAAATACCGAGTGCCTACTCTGGGGAAGCCTCTGTTCCAGACAGAAGATGACAAAGTTCCAAGTGCATAGTGTACAAAAAATACTAATCTCAAGCCTGCTGGCTTGATCTCAACAGTTAAGCAGAATCAAAAGAAGGGGATTTTTTCTTTATTTAGTTTATGGCTTCCTTTCTTCTATCTTGTAGAATGTTATCTACTACTAGATATCAATATAAAATATTATTCCAGTAAGTGCCAACACCGGTGTTAAACGGTAGCGTTGAAGTTAGTGTTTGGTGATTTCTTGTTTGTTCTCAAGTCACCAATTGGCACAAGCCAGTGTTCTAACCAGTTTGTGAGGTTTGACTCACTGTGAATCTTATTTCCATGTGTGGTCTATAAGGTCTGCCACTTTGGTTTATAGTTATAACTAGCACGTCCTCCGCAATGTTAAAATATACAAAGACTAACTCATTCTACCTTTGGACTTTGATGTTTGTTTTAAGAAGTAACCTTGTGGATGGTTTATGCTTAGTTTTGCCATGGGGACCTCTGTGTCATTGACTGTCTGGAAATATCTTCCATTTTAAAAAGTATATTTTACTAACTACCACACATGAAAGTTAATTTCCAGCAGGATATTTTAGCAAATTTTGACCTTTCCGAAAGATAAATCTCCCACCTCCTGCAATCCTTGCTGGGCCAGCTATGCAGCCTTTAATCTAAAACTCAAGAAAATTCACCAGGCCATTTGGCGACAGGGTACACTGGGCACGGTTTGGAGCCTGATTGACAAGGGTTACCTTGCCTGCAGTAGGGTTCTATTTTAACCCCATTGTTTCCAATTGATTCTTTTTCTCTCCACCACCATTGACTGTCTCTCAAGTGTTACCACTATGAATCATTGAACAAAGGTTTGCAGGCTGTGCAAAGCCTTATTACAGTGCCCCAGCAGGCTTCTCCTGGCATGTGCCAGTGCCTTTCACTTCCAAATTGTGCTCCAGGATTCTGCTTCTGGCCCGTGCTCACAGAAGCAGCCATGTAGCATTTCCTGTTGCATTTCAGCTGCAGGCTTAGGACATGCTGACATACCTCACATATCATCTCCTTGTTAGGTCCCTCAAGTTACATTTTCTCTAGTCCTCTGCAATAAATGATTAGGTTTCTGAATGACTTATCTAACCTGTGTATTTATAATTCCTTGTTTGCATTGACTGACTGGGAATTTAGAACCCAGTTTGCAGATCACGTTTAGTTAAGTGTGTAAAACAGGACTCTGTCCAGTAGACAGCCACATACACACATAATTTCAGATTTTCTAGTTGCCACATCAAGAGATAGATGGTAAAAGAAAACTAGTGAAAGTAATTATAATTGTATTTAATCCAATACATCTAAAATATTATCACTTCAACATTAATCAATATAGAAAATTATTACATTTCTTTTTTTTTTTTTTTTTTGCACTGTTTTTGAAGTCACTTTTTACTTCAGACTAGCCATGTTCAAGTTGAAGTGCTCGCTAGACACACGGTGGGAGTGTGTGGGATGGTGAGAACTGGTAGCTACCAGAGGGTACCAGCCTTCCCTGGGCTTTAATTTCTCTCCTCCACCCATATTTTTTCTTAATGTTCTTCTGCACACACCACCAGGTTAAAAACAAGTATCTTTGTAAGCCACCCTAAATGAATCCATTTTGAAACAAGGCACTACATAAATTAGTAAGCGTTTTTCCAAAGGAGCCTATGAAGGGTTGGATGGAAGTGCACGTTCAGGCACACTTGTTTGCAGGAGGCCGGGAGAGAAGGGAGGAATGACTTTTTTCTATTTACCATACTTTTGAGTGGGGCCAGGCTACTTACTGGTGTCTGGGCAGACCTTGAGCCTGCACATCTTAATCTTTTCGTTTTTCTTGGAGAAATTCAGAGGAGGAAGAAGACAGTGGTGAACTGGGGTCTCACATAATCACACCTTTATTTGAAGGGTTTGTTTGTTTTTGATTTTTACAGCTTAAGAGAGGATTTCAGGTGTGTTAGGGATTGTCCTACATTGACAGGTAGTGTCACAGATTTCTAACTTGGTGACTGACAGAGTTTTGTTCTGAGTGCTTATGAGAATTAATGGAAGGACTCCCACCCACCACTAACTGCCACTTGCTCGAGAGCGTGTGGGCTCCCCCTTCCTGAACCCAGAGCAGTGGGAGTTAGACTTCCTGTGAAGATGGCGTACGTGTTGACAAGTGAGACACAGGAACATGAAAAGACTGTTGCCATGAAGAATTCCTTGACTTACTGTACTTAGGATTATATTATATTTACTGATTGATTATATTTATTTAGTACTTTAGTTGGCATAAATGGATGCTTTTGAGGTACTAAGTTCCTGTATTACAGATTCCCTTCCTTTCTTTACTCCCACTAAAACCATATTTATACCCCTTCATTTTTTATCAATTTTTTTGAAAAATATAAACACATGTACACACACACACACACACACACACGCACGCACACATATATGTATTTTTTATCAATTTTTTTGAAAAATATAAACACATGTACACACACACACACACACACACACACACACACACGCGCGCGCACACATATATGTAGAGAGAGAGAGAGACAATATTGAGGAGGTGGGAGAAAGAAAATTGAACCAATGGAGGGGGAAAAAAGTTAGAATCGCAGGGCAACTATTTTTATTGTAGTCTTTTCTGTAAGATATACAGAGGATTTTGTAGCCTTTTTTTCAACAATATGCTTATTTTTTGTTAAAGGAAAATAAGCTTTAAATAGTCCACTCAGAATTTTATACAAACAATAAATTAGTGGGTGAAAGTGGATGGCTCTTTTGAAAGAAGTGGGGGAGGGGGAATCTACTCATCAGATCATCTGTCTGTTACTTGATGTGAATATATACATTTTATTCTTTTATATTTAGAAAAACAGTGATGTGTTAAAGTCTTATTCTTGTTGTGAGTTGTTACTTTAGACATCCTGCCTTTCCTGGGCAGGAGAAATAGTCTTTCTTCATGCAAAAATCAGTCACTACAAATCACATCAGATCTAACCTGTCAGGGCTGGCTGGTTAGCTCAGTGGGTAGAGTATGGTGCTGATAATACCAAGGTCAAGGGATCCCTGTACTGGCCAGCTGCTAAAAACAAAAAAACCAGTGAAATATGTTTACAAATTATTTTTAAAAATCTAAACTGTCCCTTGCCTGTGCCCCATCACACAGACTCACTTTAAGTACTAACAAGGTTGCTGTATGTGCATAGACATCTCCAAAAGTCACATTACTTTTGCTTTTTGTTTATTGTCTTATCTATTTTGTCCATACAGTTATATTTGTAACAATTTGATTTGCTTGTTATACTACAATAATAGGGTGAAGCAGAAAGAGAATATGATCATAAGAAAATCAGACTGGAGAAAGAAATCAAATCACAGTCCTCTTCATCTTCCCACAGAGAATCTTCTAAAACAAAGTGAGTATAGAGAGATGAGGAGCAGCCTAGAAAGGTGGTGAAGTCTTTTTGAGTCTGACGCGTCAAAAAAGTTCTTCTTCTGCAGTAGAATCAGTGGATTAATAAACTCATTCTGGCTCATTTTGATAGTGTTTGTTTCGTGTTGCTTTCATCCATGAGGACCTTTTAGGAATTAAGAATTCATTTGGCAGCAAATTTAGATCCATCAGAAGCATTTTCACTGTGGAAAATTTCCTAAACATCTGGAATTATTTTTTTCTAAAGGGAAATAAGAAAAGTACCGTTATTATTTCTACTTTGCAGAACTGGAAACGGAGACACAAACTGTGGAAAATTTCCTAAACATCTGGAATTATTTTTTTCTAAAGGGAAATAAGAAAAGTACCATTATTATTTCTACTTTGCAGAACTGGAAACGGAGACACAAGGAAATAAAATGATTTGCCCAAAGTCAAACAAAATTCTTACTGGGTGGTGGAGCCAGCATATGGACTCCAGGAGCCTGGGTTCAGTGCTCCTTCTTTGAGACATGAGTGAGAATGTGTAGGGCCACTCAGTGTCTCTTGCTGGGGAGAGGGATGGCAGGTGAGAGGTGGTAGAACCAGTAAGGTGTGAATATAAAAAGTAACTATTATTTACTCTCTGATTTATTCAAGAAATTGTTCAAGTCACTAAATGACTTGGGCAAAAATAAGTGCATAGTGTCACCACATGGGAGCCAACAGGAATGAGAGAGAGAGAGTCAGATGTGGCGGGTGCCAGCTGGGCTTGCCTATGTGTCTGGCAAAGGTACAGGTTGGAGAGGTAGGGACAGCGAGGGAAAGACAGGACCACTGGCAGACGTTGCAGGCTTAGTGAAAAATTATATGACTTCATTTATTCCTAATGGCTAGGGCTAGGTTTCTCAAAGACATCAAAAAGTCCCTGAAATTTAGCCTTTCTACAACACGATGTCATGCTCTGTGATATTGCCATCGTTCACGCCAGTGCTATTTGTCTTTTATAACGAAACAACCACACTGTGTGGTTTGTGTTCTGCTTCAACTTAGTTTTGTATGATGTTTCGCTGCAGGACACCCAGGCCCTCTTCAGAACCCTCAAAGAAGGAAATGCTTCCCCCGCCACCCGTGTCGTCCTCCTCCTCGTCCTCCTCCTCCCAGAAGCCAGCCAAGCCTGCACACAAGAGGTCAAAGCGGGAAGCAGAGACCTGTGGCCAGGACCCTCCCAAAAGTGCCAGTAATATCAAGAACAACCACAAAGACTCTTCCGTTCCCAAGCACAGAAAAGTAGATGGGAAAGGCTCTGGAAGCTCTACAGAACACAAAGTAAGTTTGGGGAGGGTGACAGTAATTGCGTACAGTGGAATGTGTTGGTGTATCTTTAAGTTTTCAAATAAGGTAAGTCCTTAATGATGGCACTTTAGAGCTATTTATCACTTTTAACAAAACAGTGATGACTTTTTTGTGTTTATAGTTTTATTTCTTTGGAGGGAGAATAAAAAGTAGTTGATATTACATGAAAATTTAAGTGTCAATTTATTTTTTAAAGTGGTTCAGAGGTGAAAAATGAGTATAGATTTTTGTACTAGTTTTCTATCAGGTGTTTTGTAGTAAGAAATGGTTACTCTGGTTAGTTCTTGGTTTGAATGTTTGATCTTATACTTTCATTGTTGATTATAGTGGGAAAAAATTATCCACTTTCTCAAGTAAAATTCCTCTTTTTGTTAATCTGTGCGTGTGCATCGACTAAGATAATCTGGTGCGTGTGCATCGACTAAGGGAAAATGTTGTGTTTGGCTTTGTGGGTTATCTGCTATGTTTGACATTGTTGTCCTTTTTGAGTCCGAATACAATCAGAATCTCCAGCTTCAGCTGAATACTGTATCTGGGAAAGTGCTTGACCAAGCTAAATGGTGCAGTGTTTGATTTATTCTTTTCTGAACCACTATTTTGTGCTGATTACAAGGGGTAGTACTTTTAGGACAGTGATCTTAAATGTTAGAGTGTAATCTGTATATATATATATATTTTTTAAAGGGGTCTTCTGGAGATATTGCAAATCTTTTTCCAGTGCCTTCTTTGCCAAATGGTAACTCTAAATCAGGGAAGCCTCAAGTGAAGTTTGACAAGTAAGACTTTGGATGCTTTCTTCTTCTGCCCTCCCCCATTTCCTGTCCCCTTTTCCTCTCCCCCCCCCCCC